TATAAAAGTAAGAAAACATGAAAGCTGACTTGAGCCTACCATAATTCAGTTCAACCAGTGTTAAGATTTTGGCTCATTCCTTTCCTTCTTTTTAGAAATTTGTAATCTTTTAATTTTAATTATCTCATTGAGATATAATCCACTAATTCCAACAATATAATTTACTTTTTACTACATTTATGGAATTGTGCATTGTTACCACCTATATTTAGAATATTTTTACATATCTCCTGCCAATAAAATTCCTGTACCAGTTGGCTCTCCACCTCCCACCCTTGCTTACCCAAACTTCATCAAGCAGTAATTAACGTTCTGCCTGTAGATTGACTTATTCTGGGTATTTTATAAAAAAGAATGAAACAACATATGGTGCACTGTGTACTGGCTTCTTTTATTTATCCTAATATCTTCAGGGTTTCTTCATATTGTAGCATGTGTATTTCCTTTCTTTCTTTCTTTCTCTTAATGATAATCCTTTGCATAGATATACCATATTTTACAACTGATAGATATTTCTTGATTGAAGAATGTTTAGGCTGTTTTCACATCTGAGATGTTAGGAATATTTTTCTATAAAACTTATGGATAATATTTTATGTAGACTTTTGCCTTTATTTCTCTTGAGAACACATCTAGAAGTGAAAGTTCTCAATCATGTAAAGTCTTGCCATTTTAAATTCTATCAGCAATGCCTGTGTTTTTATTTCTCTTCATTCTTATCAATATTTATTATCTGCCATTTTTAATTTAAAATTTTTAAATTTAGCAATGTTAGTGGGTATGATGTGACTTTGATTTGTATTTTCCTAATTGCTAGTGATGTTGAGCATCTTTTTAAATGTTGTTTGCTCTTTTTGTATCCCTTTGAAGAAATACATACATAAGCCATCTCATATTTTTATTTGGGTTGTCTTTCTAATATTGATTGTAAGAGTTCTTTAAATATTTTGAATACTGATCTTTGGCTAGAGATAAAGTTTACAGACATTTTCTTTCATGGATAGTTTGTCTCATTCTCATCATTGTATTTGGAGCATAGACATTTTCAAATTTGACTAAATCAATTTCTTTATTTCTTTTCTGTTGTTATTTTTAAAAGAAACCTAATCCAATGCCACTGAGGTTTATTTCTGTGGTTTCTGCAAAGATTTTTATGTTTTTTTTTCCACTGTGTTAGGATCTTTGAGACATTTTGGTTTACTTTTTGTGTCTGATATGAGATAGGAATATGGATTCATCTGTTGCATATAAGTTATTTTGCATAAGTTATTTCTGAACCACTTGCTCAAATGACTGTTCTTTCCTGTTGACTTGTCCTAGTTCCTGTACATGTATTTTCATCCACAGATTCTGCTCCATAAGTCCCATAGCTCTTGGTATCTCTTAAATGACTAGAACAGTAAGTATCTTAAACAAAAGAAGAAGCATTTGGCTTTCCGTCTTTGAAACAAAGCAGCTTTGAGCAGCTTCAGAGCAGTGAAGAGGAGAGACTGTCTTGATAAAATGTTGGAGTGCATCACGCCTCAGCTTCAAGAACCAAAATCTCTCCTGCTGATCTTCTTTGCTCTCTTTCCATCTGCTCATTTCTCTCCCCAAAGTAGTCTACAGTCTCAAGACTGTGACTGTGAGTCATAAGTCAAAGGAACCTTGAATATGTGAAGCTGAAAGTGTAGAAGAAACCCCAGGAAGACAGAGGAGCCAGGGATGTGGAACACCTGCCGAGGAAAGCTGCAGGCAGTGAGCAAAGCCACCCCAAGAGAGAGGGGCCACGAGAGCTATGACTGGACGTGCTTTAGAGGCAAGGTGACCTGAGCCCTTCAAAATTCCCCTTATACTGCAACCTGCGCTGGGGACAGTATGTGATGTTTCCCCTGCTGGATTTTGGTCTTTCTTTGGTCCAGTTTCTTTCTTCCTGTTTCTCCTTTGTGAAATGGGAATGTTTCCCTGTGCCATTGTATATTGACAATGCTTGATTTCAGCTTTGATTTTTTTCAGGAGCTCACAGATAAGAGTTTACCTTGTGTTTCAGAGGAGACTTTGGACTTGGACTTTTCAGCAATGCTGGAAATGTTAAGACAGTGGTGACTCTTAAATATGAATCAAATGTATTTTGCCTTAAGAGGTGTGCATAAGTCTTCAGGGGCTTAGGGGTAGAATGTTATGGTTTAGATCAAGAATGTTCTCCAAAGAGTTCATGTGCTCATAGGTGAGACTTTTGGGACATGATTGAATCCAGGGGACAATGAAGCTGACTTGCTGCTAGGAGGTGAGTCTGGTTGAAAGAAGTGAGTCACTGGGGCATGACCTGAAGGGTATATCTCCCTCATGCTTCCTCTCATCTCTCTTTGCTGTCTGCCATCACGTGAGCAGCTTTTCCTCTATGACACCCCTTTGCCATTACATTTTCTGCTTGGAGCCAGCTGACCAAGGTCTGTAAGCCAAAATAAGCCTTTCCTCCTTTAAACTGTGGTTGTTGTGTATTGTGTTTCAGGACACGAAAATGACTAAGACTGCATTGGAAATGGCAATTGCCTTTCTCAGATCAGAAGGAAATACTTTCAAAATAGAAAGCTTTGATTTGTAGTGGCTGGGGTTTTTGAGCCCTAAGATTCTAAAAATCAGGACATCTCATAAATACCTGGAGAAGGCTTGCTTAGGTCATTTCCTCACTGGAAAAACATAAACATTTCTGGACTGTGGGGTGTTAAAAGATGGAAAAGATGGAAAGTGGAGAAGGTCTTTGGAAAGAGCACCATGTCCCCCTCAAAGAGTAGGTGTTGCAGGCAGGGAAGTGAAAGGGCAGAATCCTAGCAATGTCTGGAATCTGTGAGTAGGAAGCTGGCTTTCCTCCTGAGTGAATTGCAAACAGGCTTGTGGTTCAGAGTATCAATGTGTCTTAGAGCTGGGCATGTACTGTGAGTCACTTGGGCACTCTGGCAGTGACGTGTTCTTTCAGTAAAGTTGATAATTCCCTGACTGTAAGCAAGATATCTAGCTTTTTTTAAAAATTTAATTTAATTTTTTTGTACCAAGGATTGAACTCGAGACATTGTGCTTGTGAGGTAGGCAGCGGAATCACTGAGCTAAATCCCTGGCCCTCTAGCTGTTATTATTTCCATTGCTTTAAGAAATTTTTAAACAAATCTATAAAAGGAAGAACACATTCCCTGGACAGATCAGGTGGGAAAGAAAAGATCCATTGTGAAAGTAGAGACCTCTTTACTTAGCACAGGTCTCAAAAGCACGTCATAAAATGTAGGCCATTGGATGGGAGGCAGGAAACACCTGTGATGGCCACCTGCCTGGCTCAGGTGCTAGCAATGAATAGCAGCGGTAGAGGATCACCACGAGTCAGCTCTTTCCCGTCGGTGGAAGCATTAGCTTTGAAGGGACCCTCACCTGACTGCTCTTCTTGGAAGCTTACTTCAGTAGATAGCAAGGAACCCAGGGAGAGTCACAGGCCTTTCTTGTGTTTTCTTAGATGAAACTGGCTCTGGATGGAGACTCTGCAGTAAGATTAGGCCCCATCCCACTTCCCATCGGCCCCTCTGCTACCATCAACGATTGCTCCAGTCAAAGAGGACCGAGGTAGGGAACACCGCCCTGTGGGTGTCATAAATGTCAGACTCATCTTGTAATTCCCATCCCCACTGCAGGCTCCGCAGGAAATTTGTGGCACTGCCTGTGAGGATTTCGTTACGTGCCTGTCATGGCCGTTAATGGAAATGGCACTGTGAAATCTTCAGGCACCACTTTGAAACCAGAACCTCTGGTGCTATGATAGCATTTCCCCCATTACTTCTTAAAGAGCACGGTGGAATGTCAGAGGAGATGCAGCGGTCCCTGGAGTGGGGTGTGCAGTGTCTTCAAACCAAATAATGTGTTCACTTTATTCTACCGTAAACTGTTGTATCTGATTTAATAGGTCTAAATGGATTGTTTGTGGGCGACGGGATAAAAAGAGAGGAACCATTGTGCTAGATAATACCACTTATGACAGTGAGGTGCTCCTTATTGCCCCTACTTCTGCTTTCAAACTGAGAGAATGATGATGTCTTTCTTTGGGAAGGCAGCTTTTTGGGTTACTACTGCTCCTCAGGGACAGTTTACGACACAGAAAGTTCAGTTCAAAGCACCTTGCCTCCAGTGCTTCCTCATTCCTAGCAGCCCAGGGAGGGAAAGAGTCCCACATAGAGGGGTGGAGTATGTGTCAATTACACAGGAGGATGACAGGGATGGCACAGCCTCGTGTTCAGGCAGATCCTTAAATAGTCTCCTCTCCAAAAACAGGCTAATGGTGTCATTTCTTTGGCTACAGAGGAGGAATTATTCCTTGGAATGCTGATACCATGAATGTCAGCCTCCTGATGTATGGCAAAAATTCTGCCTTCCTGTCAAGCTGTGGGAGAGAAGGGACTTTCCATATGCCCAGACTGTAGTTTGATGGGCCTCCTTTCCCTGGGAACTGCACATGACCTTATCCTGTAGCTGTGTCTCTTGAAATGAGATGCTCTGAAGATCTCTCTACTGCAAGATAAGGGCTGCCAACAACAGCATATGCACTGAAGAAGCCCAATCTGGCACCCAGTTATTTGCACCTTGCAGTGTTGTCTGACAGCCCCTGGGTAATGATCAATGGACCATTTTCCCCTTTGCTCACTCTGCCTTCACACTGTCAGCAGCTACTCTTTAAAAGTAGTGGAGACTCACAGTGTGACGGAAGAGGCATGGTAGCAGAGGGACTTGTAAAGAAAGGGGTGGTGGAAAACAGGGTGTGTGAGACTGACGCAAAGTGGAAGCTATTTCGCAGGGTTAGCAGATTCTACTAGAGGAAATAAAATCTGTTGTATTTTATTCCACTAAAATTTTTGTGATGAAATATTTATGCCTTAGAAATATTAGTGGCTTTCTGTTTCTAAGGTTTAAGAGATAAGTGAAAGGAAAATACACTTTAGACCAGGCAAATTTATGATTTTATATCTATCCTAGAGTCTGACTTGAGGGGCTCAGGATAATGCATGTAGAAGAGGCTTTCGGAATTTTGGAGAAACTGAGACGCTCCTGTGCCCACCTAGTCCCTGTGAGCTGCATCCGCATTCTTCATCAGGAAAGGCAGCAAGATCAGCAGCAAGGTCAGTCCCGTATCCACCTCCATGCCTCTACGAGGAGTGGAAACTTCCAGGAGCCCCTGTGGAGCTAATCTGACCAGGACACCCTCCAATGCTAGAGGATCAGTCGTCATCCACTTCTTTGGTCTGGCGTCTAGCACTAGCACACCTGTGCATTACTTACAGCTAAATTACTTGAGATGCTCTGGGATGATATTGGAAAGTGAGAGTCCTATTTCAGTGGCACCAGACCAAGTAAAATAGTAATTACCATTCTCCCTGTTCGTTTATGGACCGTATCAGACATGAGGCTGGTGACACAGCTGCTGCAAAGGGGAAGATGAGTTTACTACTAGTTTTTATCTAGCTCCATTTTTAAACTTTAGAACGTTTTGTGGCTATAACCAAAAAACATTAATACATTTATTTGTCAGGTTTTTACTTCACAATAGTTTAAAATTTATAGAAAGTTGCCATTTTTCTCTATACCCAATATCCAGCTTCCATTATTATTATTTCACATTAATATGATACATTTGTCACTTCTAATGAACAAATATATTTCACTGGTTTTTCCCTAGCCTCCTTTTTCTGTTCTCAAATCTCATTCAGGACATAACATTTAGTTGCCATTTCTCCCGAGGTTCCTGTGGGCTGTGATAATGTCTCATGTTTTCCTTGTTTTTGACTATCTTAACTCTTTAGTGGAGTACTGGTCAAGAATTTTGTTGCAAACCCTTCAACTGGAGTTTTCATGATTAGACTGAGACAGGGATTTGGGAGAGGAAACCATAAAAGTGCAATACTCGTTGCAACTTATCGTATGGATATGATTGTCGATGTTGATCTTAACACTTGCTTGGTGTTTGTCATGATCCTCCACTGTCAGGTTATTCTTATTTCTTCCTATAAGTAATATCGGAAGGAAGTTGCTGTTGATGGTCCACACCTAAAGGAAGAGACTTACCTTCTAGTCCTTTCAGCAGGAGTATCTACCTGCATTATTTGGAGGTATTCTGAATGAGAATTTTGTATTTTGTCCCACTGTATTTATTTATTCCTTCATTCACTGTAGCATTTATTTATATCAGTATGGATTCTTGGGTACTTATTTTGTACTCTGAGTCACGAAGCCAAAACTATTTTTGTCATTCAAATCATTACAGCTTCCATTATTGGGCACTCTTTCAATTGCTTTTGGGTGCTTTGATGTGCACCAGAAGTGCACATAGGCAGCTGATTTTAGACAAAGCACTAAAACCCTTCAAAAGGGAAAGGAGACTTTCTCTATCCAATGGTGCTGAGAAAACTGGATATTCACATGCAAAACATTTGTGTTGAAAATTATGTATAGAAAAATTAATTAAAAATGGGTTAAAGACATAAATAGAAAAGCTTAAAATATAAAATTCCTTAAGTAAAAAATGGGGGAAAAATTCATGACATGGAATTTATTTGGCAATGACAACACCAAAGGCATAGAAAACAAAAGAAATAAATTAAAAAATGGGTTTAATCAAAACTATAAACCTTTTTGCATCAAAGGAGAAGTGGTGAAAAGGCAATCCACAGAATGACAAAATATTTGCAAATTATACATCTATTAAAAGAATAGTATCTGGAATATATCTGAACAACAACAAAAGACCCTAAGTCAAAATGAGCAAAAAGCTTGAATATCAATTTTGCTAAGGCAGATATATAAATGGCCAATACGAACATAAAAGGGACTACTTATCAGTAGCCATGAGGAAATGTAAATCAAAACCAAGATGAGATACTACTTCTCTCCATTTAGGGTCACTTTAAAAAAAAATGAAAACAATAAAGGTGCGAGAAGATGTGGAGAAATTTGAACCCTGGTAGATTTCTCATGAGAATGTGAAACAGTACAGTATGCTGCTCCTCAAAATGCTCAATATAGAATTGCCATATGATCCAGCACTTCTCCTGCAGGGTGATACCTTTAAACTAATGCAAAGCGGGGTCTCAGCTAGATACTTGTTCACCAATATTCGTAACAGCATTATTCACAATAGCCAGCCCACGTGTCCACCAGCAGTAGAATGTATAAGCAAAATCTGGTTATGCATAAAATAGAATGTTATTCATCTTGAAAAAGAGATGGAATTTAGATCTATACTCTAACCTGGGTGAACTCTGAAAACATTCTGCTAAATGAAATAAGAAAGATACAAAAGGATGACAAATACTGCATGATTTCATTTACTTGAGAAACTTAGAATAGGCAATTGCCAGACACAGAAAGCCAGAGAGAGGTTCCCAGAGGCTGAGGCGAATGAGAATTTATCACCACCATTTGTGGTGATAAATACCTTCAGGAGATGGATGGTGGTGATGGTCGCAAACATTGCGACTCTACATAATGCCATTCATTGAGTTGTGTGCTTAAAATTGGTGAAAATGGTAAATCATTTGTTGTGTGTGTTCACCATAAAAATGCTGGGGACCCTCGACCTTAGTTATGTGATCCTAATGTGCAGCAGGGTTGATAATCACTGGCCACAGCTCTCCTTGCTCCACCTGTGATTTGCTGTCCTGCAAATGATCCTCCTCATGTTTCTGCCCAGCGTGGCCGGCGGACACAAGCATCTGACATGCTAGTTGGGAAATCTGCCTCTTACCATTGCCTGTGCACCTTGGGCACAAGCTCCAATGTACTTAAGACAATAGACACAAGCTCTTTTCCTGCAAACCTGGAGTGCTGAATGTGAGGTCTGGGATTTCTACTTAAGGGTTGCAAGTACATGGACAAGTTATTTGATCTTCCTTAGCAGTTGTAATCTCCTATATAATACGGATAGAACAATCCCTACCTACTCTGAAGGATTTATGTCATATATGGCACAGAGTGAAAACTAATTGTTGATGCTATAGTCTTTATTATCTGGTGGTCCTGAGAGCAGATTTGGTCTGAGACTTAGTCCTTGCAGGTGATGAAACAAAAGGTCGTGTTGATTTGGTTTTCTCCTCCTTTTCCTGCTCTTCCCCCACTTCTTCCTTTTCTTCCTCTACTTTTTCTGTCTGCCTCCTTTCTCACATAAAAAAAAGTTCCCACTGGCAAACTCATACAGCCCAGTTTCTCAGTGGAGCTTTGTAAAATGTGCATACATATTGTCCCCCCACCCCTGCCCCACACATTTAACCTTTTCAGACTCCATTAGGAGAGGGAATATTCTTGGGAGCTGCGTAAAATCCAACTGCACCTCTCTAACATGAATTAGGCAAAGCCAGCGGCCTCCTATGCAGCTTCATTGCTACGCCTTTCCGCTCAAGATGCCGGGCACCTAAAATGACACATGAATTATGTATGCTTGGGCTCAGCATCACACTTGGCAGCCTGAAGCAACATGCATTTTGAAGGACAGACATTTTGATTCTGTGATGTACTACACATCTCAGCACTTAGGAGGAGCTGGGGCTTGTGGGCTGTTTCAGAAAGCTTACCAGTGTGAATTCAGCGCAACTCCTGTGGCCACTACACCAAATGCTCCACCCAGGTGGGGAAGATGTTCTCTTGTCCATCCTCTGTCTGGGGCCACATCTTTAGGATTTAGCTTTCTTTTTTTTCTCTGCAATGGGCTGCCTCAAGCATTACATTGAAGCTCAGTTAAGCTTAACTTGTCCTGATGTCCAACACATCTTTGCTCTCCCAGGGACAAGGCTAAAACTCCTGTAGCCCTTCAGCAGTGATGCTGAGACTCACCTGCCTGGAATCATCCTCTGCTCTTCACAGGTGGGGATGTAGCTTGGAGATTTTACCCACAGGAATGAAGCCAGTCACTCCTGAATTCTGTGTGCCCTGAACATGCTACCCCCTCTCCTTTCACACACAGCAGTCACACAGGTGGGGAAAGCCAGCCATTAACTTCTTTATCTGAAGACCTCAGGCATCCTTTGAGTCCACTACAGCCTGGTGAAAACTGATGGCTCAAATTTCACATTTGAATTTTTGGAGGCTTAAAACTATGCCCTTTTAATCTTTTGTCACTGACCTCTAACACAGTACCTAGTGCTTGAATGTTCCACCATAAGCCACCATCTTGAATTTGTGACAGTGTCGTTTTACAGTCATTAGGCCTTGTAGGAAGTGATGCAGGGCTGGAGACATGAGGCTTTTGAAATGAGAACATCTTGGTTTTGGCGTTGACATTATTCTTTACCTTTCATGAGCTTTGACAGTTGAATTCAAGTCTTCTGGCATATTTGACCCCTGAAAGGACCAAGTTAGTACAGTTTAGAACTTTTCTTAAACCACAGGGCAGATATGAAGGGCTTTCAGCAGTACAGGATTATTGGCATATTTACCTGAGAAATATATGCCCTAAGAGCAGTCCCCAAAATGCTAGAGAGTTGTGATTATCATCTTTTTTTTTCCTGTGCTAACAATATTGGAGCAAGCAAACAATAGCTCTTTTGCTTTTGGAATGACTCATTCCTAGAAGATAAAACTGGGAGCCACATATACTAGGTTTCTCATCAAAACTGACTGTCCAGTAAGTCATTACTCACTTGAAGACTCTCGTCTCTCTGTGAGCAGGGATCTAATCTATTACCCAAAAGTCCTTTCCAGGCTGATCTTGTTCCTTCCTCACAGGCCTTAAAGTGCATCAGACATATTCTAAAATGCTTCTGTGGTGCTCCTTGAATTCCCTCAAGTTGGTGCTCTTCCTTTTTGCAGCGTAGTAATTATCTCAATCAGAAGGTTTTAGAGGTGTTTCGAGAAGGTGTCACCTATCTCACGTGCTCACTGGGGAGTCGTATGATCTGCTCAGCTCTTTAGAAAACACTGAAGACCAACACACTGGCAAACATCCCTCAAGGTGGAAAAACCAGGGTCTACACTCCATATCTTATGTTTCACTTGCCAGTCAGAGAATATCTTCATCCCTTGAAGTCTACTTGTTCTTTTCAGCATCAATCTAATAATCTTGCTTGTCTGATTTCACTATTTGTGGCAAATAAAAAACTGCAGAGCTGCTAAGGAACTGTGAGTCTTTCTT